CTGGCATGAGATGTCATTCGGAGATCTCCTCAACGTGTGCCCGATCCATTTCCAATTTCTTCAGCGTATTTGGTAGGCAATAAGCTCTTGGTTGTCATGTTCCCAGAGTTTCTTGTTGCTGATTCTTTCCGACTGGCCATCTGATCTACAACATGGAGACAGTAAAGGCACCTGGTAATAAAAGTCCGCAGCAGCTTGGTGGTTGTACTGAGGCGGAGGATGTAGAAGATTTCCAAGCTGATTTCAGAGTGATGAATGCCTGTTTTGCCTTTCCGATCCTGCCTGCTTTTGATATTCTCATTCATAACGTCTGCCTGTAGTTGAAACGACGCTTTCTAGTCAGATAAGTGAAGGAAGTGACCTCTTTCAGATTTACACGGTTGACAGTGACTGGTACTGGTTGTTGTTGGTGGTTGGCTACTTTCATCACCTACCTCTATCTTCTCCATATTTACTTCAATTCCTATCTTTGCTGATTCTTCTGGCAGTTAGTTGGGTTTCTCCTGTAAGTCTTCGAGTTTGTGTGACATTGGACATATTACCGGAGAGTGGAAGAGTATTATTTAACGGATAGGTAGATCATTCTGTATTGGAAGTCAGTTACGGGTCCGAATAGCTCCTCAGTGGTAACATCTCCGACTGCATGATATTAGATGGTTGGAGGCAATCGGCAGAGGAAGCCTTGGACCTAGGTTTCGTGCTAGTTGGCACTCTTCAGCAAGGCGTATCTGCAACCTTGAAGGAACTCATGTCCCTTCTGAGATTCGAACCCGCGTCACCCAGTGCTGCAGTCAGAGACGTTACCACTGAGCTATTCGGGCTCGCGATTGACCTCCTGTAGGACTGTGGTGGATATTTTGATTTGACACTAGTAACTAGTGTGATGCGTCTAGTTCTCTCTTTGGTGCAGACTGAATTCTATCAGTCAGGTTGTAATGTGGCCACCATTCTAGGTAGCTCGCCATCACGGTGTACATTGTTTGTGATGATATTAGATGGTTGGAGGCAATCGGCCTTGCTGAAGAGTGCCAACTAGCACGAAACCTAGGTCCAAGGCTTCCTGCCGATTGCCTCCAACCATCTAATATCATCACAAACAATGTACACCGTGATGGCGAGCTACCTAGAATGGTGGCCACATTACAACCTGACTGATAGAATTCAGTCTGCACCAAAGAGAGGACTAGACGCATCACACTAGTTACTAGTGTCAAATCAAAAAAATCTCCGACTGCAGGCAGCACTGGGTAAAGTGGGTTCGAATCTCAGAAGGAGGCACATGAATTCCTTAAAGGTGCTTCTTGATGTGCCTTGCTGGGTGGTGAGCGTCAGCTAACAAGCACGAAATCTAGGTCCGAAGCTTCCTTCTGCCGATTGCCTCCGACCATCCACCGTGATTGCTAGCCACCTAGAATCCTGGTCACATTGCAAACTTGACTGACTGATAGAATTCAGTCTGCACCAGACAAACATCTAGACACATTACGCTAATCACTGACTACTGTCCATTCAAGGTGTAACGACAGGAGACAAGAGCGAAACAACAGATCGTTTATTGAGAAAATCAACAGATATTTATAGATTTTTATGTACACTATTATTCGTTACTGTTGGCAGAGAAGCTGTTGCTGAAGGTCATTCTGTCATCTCTCTGTGGCCATTTCTTAGATAGTCAGGCTATATATATGCGAATCGTATTTCCACACGTTAAGTCGGCTGTGATTGGTTGGTGAGTTCCTCAAGGTTAATTAAGCTTCGCTATTGTTTTTTTTCTCATGACCCCGACTCAGGACGTAAACGTTGACGTAAATTGTTGTCTACAATTTTGGCTTGCAGACAGCTCTCGCCACAAAGGTAAATACTGAATGGCCATTTCCCCCGTTCGGAGCCAAGCTCATCAACAGTGTGCACCCAGTTTAACTCAGCGCAGAGAGACGAATCAATTCAACCTGTCCAATTTCTGGTTAGTGTTAATTGGGTGAACTGGTAACACACTAACTATTAAATCAAATTCGCAATTGATACAGTTTGCGAAGGTGAAATTTAATCATAGTTTCCTTTGGGAAACCATAACGTTTCAGATAACACATAATATGTGTGATCTGCTGCATGATACCTAAGCATAAATGCTTAAAACATGATAGAAACCAGCACTGAAAATAGTATATTATCATCCATTCTCACGAATCTTGTGATTTATCTTGTGATGGAGTTACTATGTGAAGAATGTATCATTTCTCACGCATATTGTAATTTATTGTATGATCAATGCATCATCTTTTGTCTCAACCTTGGTCTTTATCGGATAGCCAATCAATCAGAATTAGACATTGCCAGTCAATAAGAACAATCGATCCTTACGACTGTCAACCGACTTTATTATGGTAAAGAAAAGGTATAAATATGATGTGGTGTTGACGATATTAGATGGCAATCTTGAAGGAACTCATGTCTCAGAAGGTTGCAGATACACCTTGCTGACCGGTGAGTGCCAGTTAACTAGCACGAAACCTAGGTCAAGCAAGGCTTCCTGTGGCCGATTGCCTCCAACCATCTAATATCATGAAATCAATGTGAACAGTGATGGCGAGCTACCCAGAATGCTGGCCACATTGCAAACCTGACTGACTGATAGAATTCAATCTGCAGCAAAGAAAAGACGAGACACATCGCACTAGTAACTGGCTAGTGTACAATCAAAGTATGATGTGGCGTTTCCTAATAAATGTACAATACAGTATCTTACTGTCACAGGCCAGCCTTTGTCATTTGTGATATTTGCGTGGCTCAGTGAAGCGGGAGGCACAACGGAGGCGGATAGGCGTGTTAGCGTACAACTGAATTAGTTCATTACCGTCATAACAATGAGCGGTGCAGATATAACAAAACTATATACTACTCATTAGTTGAGATGAGTAGTAGTAGTAGTCAGATCAAAGTGATCAAACCACCGAATGATCTATCAAGGTAACAAGCACTAGAGGTTGGTGTTCACGGTATACAACTACTCACCTTAGTCAACAACTCAGTAGTATATTGTGTTATGCAAATATGCAAAATATATGCCTACACTTTGATGACTACATCATCAATCTAATCTCACCACCCACCCACCCACTTACACACACAAACACACACGTAAACGTACAGACAGACATACACCTCACTACATCCTATTTTATTCGCTTCACTTACTCCTCTTTAAGAAACAAAAACGAATTGGTTTTCGTTATCACACCGTTAACTTAAAAATGAAATATAATCTTCAATAGATAAAGCTTATTCAAAAGATAAATGAATATTAATCATGAAGAATAATGATGTAAATGATTACCACATGAACAAAAAATCAATAATGCACTGATGTCATCGTTCGATTATCGATTAACACATTACAAACAAAAAGGAATCATCAATTTAATTCAATTTAGAGTTTCCCGTCGATTGATTGAACCGAAGTGCTCAGTCTCAGGTTGGCATGTCTGCTCCTCCTTGTGTCAAATGCTTCGACGATGTCTGATCAATCGACGGGAAAATCTGGATTCAGTTAAATAATTAATAAGACCCGGTGGACAAGAAGTGTTGGCCCTCGTGGTCCAACGGGTCCAGCGGATAACGCTTTGTCGCTTGATACTACAGGCACTGGGTTCGAGCCTCAATGGGGAATGCGGATACATCCGATAGCTGACGAGTCCCAAATGGGACGAAATGCTCATGCTGGCTGGATTCCACTGGTAGTTATCATCCACTAATTGATTCAACATATTGATGAGGATTTATGAATTGATAACACAGAGTAGTCATCAGCGTCATCGCTGTTCTGTTCTCTTTTTCCGACACTATCATTATTGTTGGCAGATTATGGGCAGTAAAAGATGCATCATAGTTTCTGAGAGGGCTAGAAGACTACTACTCGGACGCCCAGATTGAATCAGTTAGTACCTCCACAAGGAGCCTTTGACTTGAATTCTGATCTAAAAGGCAGTGGATCAGCGTCAGGATCTGCGGAGTTCCTATGGATCTCGGTAACTAAAACACATTCGTACGCCATTCGATCAGTTTTGGATTCTGGAGCCAATGTACACACACCATAGGTTTGGAAGCAGGGAACATCCTCAGCCAGTGAACAGGACTTACTTGGAAGGAGGAGGCTATGAACGCGTAGCTATATGAGAAGTTATCGTCTCAACCGATGATGTAACTTCACATATGGATATGACATATCACACAGAGTGAGTGCATCTGCACTATTCATTAAGAACGAGTATATTGAGCCAGTGATATAACTAATTGTCTCCAGTCTTCATTGGTTCTTACCATCCCAAGGACCCAAACCATTGAGGAAGTCTACACCTCCCTACCTGGCTAGTCAGTTTAAACTAACTGTTGTATATTTCATTGACTGGTGCCATGTTTTAGTTCGACCACCACTAGCTTTCTCTTTTCCAACCTGACCCTATATCAGCTAACATTGCCCGTCGAGGAAGGCGATGGCTAGTCATGCATGCGTAACACATGTCCTAACAATCTCAGTCGATGTAATTTCACAGTCTCGTCAATTGATTTCCCCTCCTTCTTAACTAGCGCTCGACCGAAGCCTAACCTCAATATTGCTCACCTTATTCGTCTTCAGTGTGAATGAATCTCCAAATTCAGCACCCTTTGTTTTAAACTTTTTAACACCGTTCTTCACTGTGCATATTCAATACTCATCGACAGCATTTCAGCCGGATAAGAATCAATCAACGGAATATATAGAATAAATCGTCAGCAATCACATGATGTAGAGTCGATGGTTTAAGCAGTGGAATACCCGCCAGCCACACACACACACACACACAAGGAGACGTGCGCATGGTCCGAGTTCGATTCTCAGCCGACACATCCTTAAACCACACTCCTAGCCGGTAGGTAGTGTAACAGTAGTCAGTCTGGAGAAGAGAGAAGCTTAAGCATTAGAGGATATACATAACAACAACAACAACAACAAAATCACTAACCTCTGGAAAATCACGTAACACCTCTGACATTTCATTTCCACGTTCACCACAACCAACATAGACGATAATATCAGAATTTGAATATTTTGATAATGATTGAGATATGACTGTTTTACCGCAACCAAAGGCACCTGGTATAGCTGTTGTACCACCTTGAACACATCTGTATAGAAAAGGAAAGAAGAGGGAGAATGAGAAGGATGGATGAAATCATTAACCCTTTTGATACTATTAAAACAACCAATTAAATGTTATTATTATTAATCCGTTGGGTTCCGAGTGGGACATAGGGCTCCACCTCCATTTCATCCTGTTTACTGAGGTTGTCTTTAGCTAGCTCATAAACCTTCATTTATTACTCTTCAGGGGATCGCCTCTATACTACCGTCGGAAAAACTCCCACTCGAGAGCTACTCTTCAGCCTCTGGCTAGAGTGTGATGTCATTCAGCGGTCTCCTTCTCTAGAGAGTATCCGAGTAGTAGTGTGGTGAGAGCTGTCTACTGGCCAAGTGGTTGACAGTAATTGAGGTCAATGTTTATGTATCAAATATTAGTCATGTTGTGGTGAGAGATGGTTGCTAACCAAATTGGTTGACAGTAATTGAGGTCAAGGTCAAGATGGACAGGCGGATATAGTTAACATATAGATGAACTGACACAGCCACAAGAGATGCAAGGTTAACTTTGTGTGAGAAACAACCAATCAACAGACTGTACTTTCTACTAACATTAACCTGCAATAATGTACATCAAAATCTATAAATACGTGTTGATTTTCCGTAATAAACGTTCTGTTGCCTGGCCCTTGTCTTCTGTTGTTACAGTAGTATCCCAGTCCTCTTACAGACGATGAAGTTTTGTTTGGAGCATCTATTGGTGCCTAAAATACAGCAAGTTTGCACTTTGATAATAGTAATAATAATGCAGAAAAGTATAACAGTAGTGACGCTGATGACTACTCTGTGTTATCGATTCATAAATCCCGATCAATATGTTGAATGAACAGTTCATGTATGTAAGTATTGATTCCTTTTCAATTAGTGGATGATGACAAGCAGTGGAATTCACCAGGATGCGCACTTTGTCGTACTTGGAATTCGCCAGCAAGTGGATGTACCTGCATTCCCCATTGAGGCTCGAACCCAGTGCCTGTAGTATCAAGCGACAAAGCGTTATCCACTAAACCACTTGGGCCACGAGAGCCACCACCACTTGTCCAACGGGCCTTATTAATTATTCAACTGAATTTAGATTTTCCCGTCGATTGACCAGACACCATCGAAGAATCTGACACAAGGAGCAGCTGACATGTCAACCTGAGACTGAGCACTTCGGTTCAATCAATCAACGGGAAAATCTAAATTGAATTAAATTGATGATTCCTTTTTGTTTGTAATGTGTTAATAGATAATCGAAGAGTGGCCTCAGTGCATTATTGATTTTTTGTTCAATTGGTAATCATTTACATCATTGTTCTGTATGATTAATATTCATTCATAAATGAATTAAGCTTCATCTACTGAAGATTATATTTCATTTTTAAGTTGACGGTATGATAACGAAAACCAATACGTTTTGTTTTTCTTGAAGAGGAGGAAGTGAAGCGAATAAAATAGGATGTAGTAAGGTGTATGTCTGTCTGTCTGTATGTTTACGTGTGTGTGCGTGTGTGTGTAAGTGGGTGGGTGGGTGGTGAGATTAGATTGATGATGTAATCATCAAAGTGTAGGTATATATTTTGTATATTTGCATAAAACAATAGACTATTATTAAGTTGACTGACCAGAGAACTGTAGCATGATGCTACGGGATTGGGCTACGTAGACTCACTTCTAGCTTCGAAATAGGCGAGAATTAAGTGGTACAGAGCGTTGACCACTTCGCTTATTTTGGAGGTTGCATCCAGCCATCGCCAACAGGTTGATCTCTGATGAAATCTCAGTGAGGATATAGAAGGCTCGTTTGGTATCTCTGGCTTAAAAGACGTGATATCTGGCTGGGTGTCGACTAAAGGGCGTGTGTACTCCTCAGCAGTGCACTTCATCCTCCTTCGTTATGGCGATGAGCGAGACATGGACATTGAAAGTGGACGACATGAGAACCTGGCTAGTTGTCTTTGATCATAGGTGCCTGCGTTCTATCTCTCGTGTTAGGCAGTATAATAGGGTGAGGGGAAATCAGTCGACGAAGTTCTGAAGCAGTCACACGGATTGAGATGGTTAGGACATGTGTTACGCATGCATGATTAGCCCTCGCCTTCTACCATGTCGATGTGCAATATGTTAGCTGACATAAGATTGATGAGGTTGGAAAAGAGGTAGTTAGTTGTAGTCAAACCAAAACATAACTTCATCAGTCAACCCAATCCATAACAGTTCATTTAAGCTGGCCAGCCAGCCAGTCACGTAGGGATGGTAAGAACTAATGGAAGTTGGAGACAATTAGTGACATCGCTGGCTCAAAGTCAGTCTTTATTTATTATTTTTTATTTTGATTACAGCTTGATGTCAAACCGTATTTTCAGTACAAGTTTGGAATTTTCAGCATGGATATCGGTAGCCCAAATTTTGCAGACCGATCATAGATATCGGGTGTGCGTCGGCAGGGGATCGAACCCCGGACCATGTGCATGGTCGGCGAGAGTCCTAACCACTGTGCCACCGGAGGTCTCAATGGCTCGCGCAGATGCACACACTCTTAGTGATTTGTCAAATCCAACAAAACTCCGTTGTTCTTCCATATTACTATTCCTTTACCCTCATTCAAACTTCTGTTTATCATCTCTCTTTTGAATCTTTGATTACTCTCGTCTCTTGCTTTGTGTGCTGTATTATGGAGTGTGGCAGCTCGAACTGTTGCACATCTTTGGAAAGTCCTGTGTTGAAATCAGTTAGTTAGGTCACACACACACACGGCCTGTTTGAATTAGTTTTCACAGATGTATGCCCATATTAGGATCCTAACGTGGAAAGATAAGTCGTCAGGATGTACAATTTTCAGCGTCAACCACCTTTTACTAACTCCCCACCCGACCCCTCTGCAGGGTAGTGAGGCAGTATCACTGGCGTGTTGTTACATCCTTTATTCCCCACCAAAGATACAACTCCCACGACTCCGGACATGGTATAATCGCTTTTAGACTAGCCGTTACACTCGAAAACGACCTTTCTAGTATGGTAGGACACACCTATAAGAACATCAGTATTAGCCAATTTAGGTGGTTGAGGCAGGGTGAGGTGGGGTTCACGCCATGGTGGTATGCACACCTAACTATCATGTAAAGATAGTGCCAACCACTAGATCGGCTACCTTAGCCTTCTGCGACATCATTTAAAATTATTCATTCAATGAATCTGAGAATTTAGCTTGAACACAAACACACACACACATATACACACACATATGCATAGGCAGAAATATCTACTTACGGGAATAAAGCATCTAATACTCGTTGACCAGTCAACAATGGATGATTACCAGGAAGTTTTTCAGCAACTGGACGAGGTTGACGTACTGGCCATACTTGAAGCATTGTATGATGACTTGTCTGTCCATCGAATTCTATCTCTAATATTTTATCCTAACAGTTAAAACAACCAACAACAAGAAAAAAACAGATGAAACAACGATAGAATATTGAAGTAAACGTTTTTTTTGCTAAATAAGGAAAATACCTTGATGTTAGATGGTTGGAGGAAATCGGTAGAAGGAAGCCGCCTTGCTTGACCTATGTTTCGTGCTAGTTAGCTGGTACTCACCAGTCAGCAAGGCGTATCTGCAAGCACCTTAAAGGAACTCATGTCCCGCCTACTGAGATTCGAATATGTGTCCAATACATTCCTACAGGAGGTCAATCTTGAGCCCAAATCCTCCTCAGTGGTGGTAACGTTTCTGACAGCATACAGCACTGGGTGCTTGCAGGTACGCCTTACTGACTGGTGAGTGCCAGATAACTAGCACGAAACAGAGGTCAAGCAAGGCACTTCCTTCTCCATATCATATGATTATGACCAATAGTTTGTGCTCGAAACGTGGTCGCATCAGTTAATATTACTGTACAACAAACACTGTGATATTTATCAAAATAAAATCTTATCAATAATGGAGTTGTACTCTACCGGACAAGTGCCCAAGTTTTATACTTATATCAATAAGGCTGCCTTCTACCGATTGGCTCTAACCATTATTTTATTTTGATTAAAGGATCCTGTGGAGCCCCTTTAAACATAACAGTTCAGTTTATCTCAAAACTTGTGATGATTGTCAGGTAAAATACATACATGAAAGTAGTAGAACGGGGTGCCTCATACTAGCTGAGCATAAAAATCTAGAAAAAACTAGATTACTTGATCCTGATAAGATTAGAAATCTGGAGAATGGTTCAGGTATAGCAGACACTAGATGCAATTACACATACACACACACAACCATACAATGGGATCGGATAAGATGACAGTCTTAAAATCTAATCTAATATAACGGGTTGGGCGGAGTGGGATTCAGAAGTGAAGCTTTATTGAACGAATCAACTGTATACACGTGTAATAGGAAGGATTCAACACCTGTCGCGCCCGGACATATGAAAAATAGTAGTACCCCTCAGACCAATAGGAAGAAATAAATAACACTATAAAACTGCCGCTCTGACCGGAACAAGCTGGATTCAGGAGAATTAAGTCATGTATTGGTCAAATCGCCACACTA